TCTAATGTTTTGTACTTCAGAAAATCGTTACGTTCTCTACTTCCTCTGACACGATCCTGAACACAAGCCCCACCAGCTCAAGGACTGCCCTCATACATATGCTGGCCAACCACCAGAAGGTCAGTAGTGTTGAATTGGTGCAATTACAAAATACATGAAATAACTCTTTAAATACCTGAAATAACTGTACGGTCAAGCTCGCAGAGTTCCAAATTTTGTATCCCGGACATGCTTTGGGGTACTAATTCTAAGAACTTTAGGAGCTTTATTTCAGGAGTACGTTAGGAGTACAACTTTCACCACTGCAGGTTGGGAATCACTGTGGGTCATAGTTCTGTCATTTCTGTTGGCATTTTAACACCCATGGAAAGTTCAGTAAACTCTGTAGTGCTTTCTGTTTAGTGTGCTTTTCTTACCATGCCTCCCTGCATTTAAAGACTCCAGGCTGTATGCACCCAGCAGAATGTTGGCTTGCCGCTGTAGAGATTTGCCAAAGGGATGGCTGCCTTCAGATACCACATAATAAAACACACAGCCAGCTGAAAAGATGTCCACGGTGTATGTCTGCAAATAAACAACCTTTAATAGCACTACAGCATTTCCCCCCCTGAAGACTTTGAGCCATCATCACAGGGTGGTTATTTTGCACCTAAGAACGGAAAAAAACTTTTCAGAATCACACATTCAGCTGCAAGCCAGCATGAACGTGGGGTTGGACTAGATGACCTTCAAAGGTCTCTACCAACCCAAACTGTTCTATGAGTCTGTGAACGCCCAGTCATGAAATACTGCATATCTTAAGGTCTCACTGCAACACTGTGCCACCCATTGGTTGTGCTGCCTTCTCCCAAGGGAGATGAAGACTTACGGGGTTCTCTTTGCAATCTTCACTCAGCATCTCTGGGGCAATCCAGCCTTCGGTGCCTGGCACACCCGACCGACGGCTAAAGCTGTGCCTGCCCACTGCCAGCTTCTTGCACAGGCCGAAGTCTGAGATCATAGCTTTGACTTTCCCATGGGCATTAGGCATCGAGATGAGGATGTTATGGGGCTTCAGGTCCCTGTGGACTATTATAAACACCTATTTACCCACTCCAGGCAAACCCAACAATATTTGTAAATTTTTAATGTATTTGCATTGTAAAACTTTCACAAGGCTGAACCACCATTCGTTAAATTGAAGTCCTAACCTCAAACTATTGTTTTTGGTAGAGCATCATTACTTTTTTATTCCATCACCACTAGTCATCATGTTTTATATGACTTCTATCCAAAAAAACGCAGCACCCTGAACAAATGGTAATGACTAGCTTTACTACTCCAGTGCAGCAGAATGTTACAGGTGTCAAAGGACAGACACTATTGCTGCCAGCACTACGTGGAGCTTCTACAACTCTCCCTTCAGGGACTGAATAAACAAACTCCCAGCACCAAACCAGTTTCTCTTCTTTTTTTAGTTAAGAAAATGCACCAGTCTCCATCCAATACTGAAACAAGAGGCATTCTTACCGATACTAAGGGAGTGCAGGTAAGCAAGACCAGATGTCGTCTGTTGCAGGAGAGTGATGGGTTGTAAGCCATGGTGACTGAAGGCCTTCTGCTCTACATACTATAAATTACAACAGAAAACCAGAAGATTCAGCTCACAGCATTGTTTATCATTACCCTCTGCATAAATAGGAAGTATATCCTCGTCACTCCCTTCAAAAAAAAAAAAAAAAAGGTTAGACTGTGTAAATTGTGCTAGCTGGCAACACACAGAAAAGAGCCTTTTCTTTTTTTTTTTTTTGGCTGAAGGTGATATCTCTAAAATGTCATTCAGAGCTAGAATTCTATATAGCACTGTGCTCCAGAAGCAAGAGTAGAGGGTCTTCAAAGTCTGGATGGTATGAAGGGGAGGATGACTAGAAGGGAGTCCTTCACAAGAAGCAAAAAAATCAAAGGACAACAGCTTCTGTCCTTAAATCAGTACAGGATTAGGGATGTCTTTCTACAGGTCTGAAAACACCCCTGTTGTAGGAAAATGTAACTGTCACAGAGGTGATAGTGGGAGTAACTAGAACATGTCCTACAGCAGGCACTTCAGCAACTTAAGCTAAGGGAAACTGAAGACCTTTCAGGGAGAAGACTTTTGGCAAATTCTGTAGGTTTGCAAG